CCGATTTGATTTCTTTTATGATATGTTATAGTAGACTAAAAACTAAGTGACACGTATTTTTTTTTATCTGCCATTAAACACTTTAAGGGGGTGAAGCCACCATCCCAAGTAACGCCTGTGAGGGGTGGCTCACCTCTTAATTTTTTTTTGTTAATTGATAAAATTATATTTTTCATTTCTCGTTATGAGAAAGCTTTTCCAGGTGGATTGGTTAATAAATATCATGTTCTTGTGGATGAAACTGCCAAATCGCCCCTTGACATGCCTTACTTTAGGTGGTGGTTTCACCCCCTTAAAGTGTTTAATGGCAGATAAAAAGAAATACGTGTCGCTTAGTTTTTAGTCTACTATAACATATTATAAAAGAAATGAAATCGGAGAGATCTACCTGGGGATACCTTCCTTGTTAGAGATGAGATTCAGAGATGAATTTTGTAAGTTAGATGTCGAGGTGAAACTCGGAGGTTAGATTCGGGGATGAGTTTTGCAGGTTAGATTTGCAAATGAGATTCGGAGGTTAGATTTGGATATGAGATTTGGAGGGTTACATTTGGAGATAAGATTTAGAACTGAAACTTGGAGGTTGGATATAGAGATGAGATCTGGAGGTTACATTTGAAGATAAGACTCGGAGGTGATACTAGGAGGTTGGATTAAGGTGGTGACTTCTCCAAGTTAAATGTCGAGATAGGTTTCGAGGTTAGACCCGAAGGTTACTTTCATAAACGCGACCTCGAACATTAGACACGCCGACAAGATTTAAAAAATCAGACCCAGAAGTCAGACCTCTAACTGAGATTTCAAGCTGAGACATCGAAGCTGACGTCCGGAGGTTAGATTCGAAGATAAGACTGAAAATCAAAATCAAAAGTATTATTTCTTCGGGAGGGGTGAGTTTAGGAAGTTAGATTCGGAGGTGAAAAGTTTAGAAGTCGGACTCTCTCGTAGGTCCCTCCCGGGTATTAGGTTTTGAGGTTAGATTCGGCGATAAAATTAGAGGTCAGAGAGATGGGCTTCGTGGATAACTCCCCGCTGCAGGAAGAATCGCCGTTTAGAGCGAGGGGAAGGAGACGTGGAGGACGAGCGCCGTCGTAAGGACGTGGCCCAGATCCCGACGTCGACGGAGAACGCCCTGCGCCGTTTCGGCGGGTGTCCTCTCTCTCTCCCTCCCCCCTCCCCCTCCCTCGCTCGCTCTCGCTCTCGCGCTTCCGACCGCGCGAGGACAGTGGCCGTGACCCGCGCGCGAGGGGCTCGAGGAGGGTCGCTGGCCCCGCGGCGGAGCGAGAGCGAGAGCGCTAGCGGAGCGACGAGGACAGCGACAGGGAGCGGCGCGCGCAGCCAGCGGCGCCGGCTGAGAGGGAGAGGGGGGGCGCGCGATCGGCCGCAACCCCAGGTATACGGGCGCCCCTCCCCTTTCCCCGACGCCTCCGCTGCTGGTGGCGGGTCGATACGCGCGCGGCATCAACCCCCCCGACTGACCGAGCCTTACCCTTACCTTCCCGAACTTTTTAGCTCTCCCGGCCTACCCCTATCCCCCCCGCGGGAATTACCCACCCCGGGGGGATCGACCTCCGATCCGCTTGCGGAATTTCCCGGCTCTCCTCCACCCTCGTTTTCTCCCAGGGGGGGCGCTCGGTTAAAGCTCGATTCGGACGTATCCGTGCGAAGGGCTCTTCACGCGGAAATCGGTGATAATCGATTTACTTCTTCGAGAATCGATTGTCATTTTATTTCGCGTGATATACGTGTAAAGTGTGATATGATTCGGTTGCGGGGGACGGTCGGCCTTAAGGTGAAGTGACACCCCCTTTAAATCAGTCGATACGAATACAACACGGTATGCGCTTCTATGCTAAAACGATGGTAATACGAGGTCTCGGAGTGAAAATTTAATTGACCTGGAAATCACAGATGGCGCAGCGGGTCCCTCCGCAGTCAGTTAGGGCCCCAGAAAGCATGAATCCAGAGGATTTTTGGAGTTTTACTTGGATTTCTTTATAATTATTGTACGAAAACGACAGGTGGAGTATGCCATTTGGTACAATACCCAATATAATTCGACCCAGCCGTCAATATAAAAACGAACGTCGGCAACGTATGTATTTAGAAAAATTTTCTTTATCGACGTCGATCAAGTTCCTCGACGTGTTTCACTTCACCTTAATTGCTTGGATATCTGTGTACGGGGTGCGAGGGGGAAGGGGGTGCGAACCACGAAGTGACCGAGGCTACTCGTTGTTTTTCGGTGTGTCGTCGTCATTGTGGACCAAAGGAGGACTAGACGGTCCAGGAGGAGCTGCCGATTGAGATGGGGATCACCGGAGTTTTCGGCTGGCCCGATCAGGTCTTCCTGGTATATTTTCTATCATTTTTTCAGGGGTTAAGGGGATGCGAAAGTGGCGTCGAAGAGGTTTTGTTTATAAAACTTTTCTTCCAATTAGGCTTACCGAATAGTTTGAAACTTTAAAACGTGAATAGGGAGACTATAAGGAAGGTCCTGAAACTCGCGAAATTTCATTTTTTATTAACTATTTTTAATATACCTATAAACAAATTTCAAAAGAATTAAAATTTCATGAGTTTCAGGACCTTCTTTATAGTCTCCCTATTCACGTTGCAAACTATTCGGTAAATCGAGTTAGGAGAAAAGTTTTATAAACAAAACCTTTAAATCCTTCAAAACCCCACTTTCACATCACCTTAACAGGTTTATTAGAATGTTTCTGTGATATAAACGTTTGTGTCGAGTTTTGGTTGTGGAATTTTTTTTATACAAAAACCAAAACGGTTCAAAAAGATAAACAAATTCCGAAATCGTTGAAATTTGGATTCTTTGACTCTGAGTTCTCTGACGTTAAGAAAATTCGGCGCTTTCCAGAACGTGAAAAACGTTAAAATGGTCATTTTCGGAATTTGTTTATCTTTTTTTTTTCTTTTTTAACCCTTTGGCTCCTGAGAGCGCCTAAAGGCGCCCAACGTTTGGTCCAATATTGCTTGCACAGTCAGACGAATTTCGCCCATATGTCGAAATGGCTCCGTGTTCAAAGGGTTAACAGCTCTGGCTTTTATAAAAAGAAATGGCACAAACATCTATATGATAGAATCATTCAAATAAGCCTGTTATTTTTGTTTGTGCCTCAAACTGGATTCCCGGTTCACACAGCCACGTTCCGTTGACGTTCCGTTGACGTTCCGTTGACGTTCCGTTGACGTTCCGTTGACGTTCCGTTGACGTAACGTCCCGTGACGTATCGTGACGTCCCGGACCGCGTACGTCGGCCAAGGGAGGGATAAGAAGCAGGAGAGGGGGGAAGACGTCGGCGGTGCAGTGTGGTGAAAGCCCGTCGTTCGTTTCGGCCATCTGCTGCACCGGAGTGCCCCCTACACTCACGCCGACGAGAGTTAGGTTAGGTCAGGTCCGGCGTGGCCTAGGTCGGAACCGCCGCGAGTCCGCAGGTGGAGGACGCGCGGCCTAATCGCTCCTGATAACGATCGATAAACGGCGATTATCGGACGTCACCTCGATAACGAAACCGCGTGTTATCGAGCCGCACTTTCGAGTATGTCTTAGCGTAATCGTTCATTTAACCCATTTGCATCATATGGAAGTATGAAAAAGAGGGCCCTTATCACCAAATTTCAGGCTGAATGATTGTGACCAGGAAAATTGAGCGTATATATACGTTTAATGATGCAAATGGGTTAAATCTACGATAAAACTTACGTTACTTAAATCCGTAAAAGTATCCGTTACCTTTAACCTGTTGAATCTATTAAGGTGATATGAAAGGGTCATTCTATATACATATGTAATGTCAAAATATTTATAAAACTTAACCGTAAAAATATACGTTACTCTTAACATGTTGAATCTATTAATTTAACTTCAGTTCGTATAATTCTCAACGTAGACTGTAAAAGACTTCAACATAAATATAAATGTCGGTAACGGGACGCGCCAGCTTACGTTACCACTTGAGTATTCAATATGGCGTTCCCACCAAAAAGGATGTATGTACAGTAAGCACCCCCACATCGGATATGTGGAATGAAACCTATTGGAGAATTTAGTGCTTTTTTAGTGCTATTTTAGTGCTACAACCTCGATTTTAGTGCTCCACCCCTTATACCGAAAATCGGTGGCGGTGCTGAGTGAACGTTCACTCAGCACCCCCACAGTGCATACTACGTTAAGGGAATGATTCATGGAAAAAAACGAGTATGCAGCAGTTTGGTACTATTTTAGTGCTCTAGAAATACCCAAGAGTCAGATCCGAAACATCATCCCCTTCACCCTAAAACTACCCCCGATCGTATAGGCTCCAAGATAGAAAAGGTAGAAGTAATAACACATTTTGCACGTTCTTCTCTCGCATTATTTTGGTGTTATTTAAGTGCTTTAAGGATATAGTGGGTATCCACAGAGCACGTCAATAGCAACAAAATAATGCGAAAAGAAAACGTGCAAACTTTGATGTTTTTACCTCTTCTGTCTTGGAGCCTATACGATTGGGAGTAGTTTTGAGGTGAAAAGGGGTGATTTTTAGAATCTGGCTCTTGGGTATTTCTAGAGCACTAAAGTAGTACCAAAATGCTGCATACTCGTTTTTTCCATGAATCATTCCCTTAACGTAGTATGCTCTGTGGGGGTGCGGAGTGAACGTTCACTTAGCACCGCCACCAATTTTCGGTATAAGGGGTGGAGCACTAAAATCAAGGTTGTAGCACTAAAATAGCACTAAAATAGCACTAAAATAGCACTAAAAAAGCACTAAATTCTCCATTATGTTTCCTTCCATATTTCCGATGTGGGGGTGTCTGCTACATACATCCAAAAAGGGTATAGATGAATTTTACTTTATCGACGTCGATTAAATTTCTCAGCGCCTTTAATGTCATCTTAACGATGGTCCTTTCGGTTGACGAGATATTTTCCAGGTCGCGTCGTATCTCCACTCGACGAATTTACTAACGAGAGGTTTTTTTTCCGCATTTTCCAGATCGCACCCTCGGCGAAGAAATTATGGGGCGTCGACGAGGGCGGCTCCAAAGACGACGGAGGCGTTAAGGGCGGCGGGATACTCCACTTGGACCACCAGATGTGGCGAGACTCCACCTGGAGCACTTCGGGTACGTCCTGGAGGAGGAAGCGACCCGAGTCGAAGTTTTCATCCTCCGGCATCTCTAATCGTAAACTCCATATGACTGAGACAAACTACGGAAAAGTCATTTCCAGGGGATCGTTCACTAGGAAATCAGTGAAAACGATTTCCTTATTTGATAACCTTTGATTTAATATGATGAACGTCAATGTAGCAAGTGACGGTCGGCCTTGAAATTGTGGCAATCACAATGTACGATAAGGAGGTACAACGCCATGTATTGAAATTGTCCTCACGTTAGGGGTCCATGAGATCAGATCAGATTTTTCCGATCTAAGGCCGAGAGCGCCTCCGAGATGAAATTTTGCAATTTAATAATTATCCTCCGCTGGTTTTCATTGCGTTATCATCACATTCTATATACCATGCGCGGATTATGGCGGCAAAAGAACCAATGATTATGTACGTTTACATGGGCATTTTTATCAGTGCACGGGCAGTGCGCGTATATTTATATTTTATGCATTTTGAAAGCTCGGTTCGAACGAAGACATGTAAGACCTAGGTATAATAATTTAGAACACTGCAGTAATCGAACATTACGGATTCACGTGGGAAATACCGTGAAAAGTTTAAAAAACGAGCGTAGGGAAATCCGCGGATACCCCATGAGCAACACGTGCCTTGGAACTCGAAATTTAGTTGTCAGTAAATCCGACAGATGGCGCCGCTGGTCGGTTAGGGCATTAAAAATTACGTATTCAGGGGATTTCTTGAGTATCACTTCGATCTCTACAATTATTCTTCCGGAATGATATATGGAGGATGTCGGTACGTGGATTACTCGGGGTAGTACGACACAGTTCTCCATATAAATATAAATGTCGGTAACCGTTTCAGATGGTGCATCGGTTAGATGAAACCGCTTTACCGACGTCGATTAAATGTCTGGTTGACTTTTGCTCTGCCTTGAGGGGGGTTGTCCCTGGGTACGTCACCCAGGTTAACGTTCCAGGAGGAAACTCTGTCTGTCGGTCGCCGTCCGACGTGCCGGCGCTCGCGACGTCGTCGGCGGGCGTCGGCGGACGTCGGGGGACGTCGAGCGCGCACCCACCACGTGGGTGTGGGTGCGGATAGGCGACGCGCGATGGGGGCGCCGCGGCTGTTGCCATGGCGACAGACGCCCGGCATCGCGACGTCGGCGGCGGTGGGGGCAACGTCCCGACGACCAGGGTCGTACCTGCCGGCCGACCCTGGCCGGGCTCCCGGGGGGGTTCGGTTTTACGGAGAAGAGATTCGAGATTGATTCGGCGCGGCATGAATATGTAGGAATCCGACGGAAGCGACCTTGGCGTCGCGAACCGCGATCCGGAAACGGCGAGCGACGTCGATCGACGTCGGTTGACGTCGGATGGCGACTGACGGCGACTAACGACGACCGACTTCGGTCGACGATGGTGATTAACGATGGCTAACGGCGACTAACCTTGGGTGTTTGTAAAGATTCATGGGACTAACGACGACTAACTTAGGTTAATGGTGACTGACAACTACCTTCGGTTAGCTGTGAAGTCTAACGGAGACTAACGGCGACTAACTTTGGATGTTTGTGAAGACTCATGGGACTAACGACGACTATCTTAGGTTAATGGTGACTGACAAGTACCTTCGGTTATCTGTGAAGCCTAACGGAGACTAACGGTAACTAACTTTGGGTATTTGTGAAGACTCATGGGACTAACGACGACTAACTTAGGTTAATGGTGACTGACAACTACCTTCGGTTAGCTCTGAAGCCTAACGGAGGCTAACGGCGACTAACGGCGACTAACTTTGGGTGTTTGTGAAGACTCATGGGACTAACGACGACTAACTTAGGTTAATGGTGACTGACAAGTACCTTCGATTATCTGTGAAGCCTAACGGAGACTAACGACAACTACCTTCGGTTGACTGAAGACTAACGGCGACTAATGACAATTAACTTCGGCGTGACTATGGCGATGGTTAACGTCGACTAACTTCGGTTGATGGTGACTAACGACAACTACCTTCGGTTGACTGAAGACTAACGGCGACTAATGACGATTAACTTAGGCCAACGGTGACTACTATGGCGATGGCGATTAACTTCGGTTATCTATGAAAACTAATGGGATCAACGATGACTAGCTTCGGTTGATAGTGGTGAATAATAATTATTAACGACGATTAATTTCGATCGTTGACCGTAAAGACTAACGATGACTAAGAACGGTGTCGGTCCGGTGTCGGTCCGGTGTCGGTCCGGTGTCGGTCCGGTGTCGGTCCGGTGTCGGTCCGGTGTCGGTCCGGTGTCGGTCCGGTGTCGGTCTGGTGTCGGACGCGCTCGGATGAAGGGATCGATCGAGGCCGAATAGCGAGGACTTACAATTTGCCGGGAGTAGCGCCGACGTCCTTGCTTCGCTCTCGCTCACGTCGTGCGATTTCAGAGACCCAGGGAAAGAGAATCGAGTCGTAACCCTTAAGGTGGTTCAAGAGGTGTCGCGAAATTTAGTCGATATCGATAAAACATAAAAAAATAAAGAATCTAAGTAAACGAACTTATAGAGCGCCCGCACCTGTTGCGCCGGCACTGCGGGTGTTGTCTCGTACGTAAAGATGCGAGGGTATTGGAACTCGATCGGGGTTGCAAATCTACGGGACGAAACGATGCGGACGTCGTTGAGTTGCGAGATAAGGTTGCAACTATATGAGGCGAAACTATACAAACTCCATTGCGTTGCACGACAAGGTTGCAAGCCTACGGGACGATGTGGTACAAACGTGGTTGCGTTGCGCGATAAGGTTGCAAGTATACGAGACGAACGTTGCGCGACACTGTTACAAGTCTCTGTACGCGTCCTAAAGTGAACCTTTTACTTGCAGATCATGCAGTCTCGCAACCCATTTCCATGGGCACCGGAAGGCGAGTCGGGGTCGGCACGGGGTACCATCACCAAACCTCGGAAGTGGGCGCCGTCCTCAGTCCAAGGAGCAGGTAAGGAAGATCCCGCTCTCTCGACATTCCCTCTCGATGCCTTTTCTCATGTACAGTGGGGGACATGAATGCCTTCCCTGCAGATATGGTATGCCGATGCAAGGTGGAAAGGCATTCATGTCCGTCAGTGTACGTATAGCCGGCACCCCCATCTTTACAAAATTCGAATTTCTATATCTTAACCCCTCTATGGGCCCGTGTAACTTTCAGGTCACATTTTAAATGAAAAATTTGTTTTTCATTTGCATATATAGGTTCCTAATTGCTGATTTTTCGTTCCCCCAATTTTTTTTTTTTTATTTGAAACAAAAATTCGGCCCATAGAGGGTTAACATTTTCTGCTCTTTACGTGCTAATTACGTGCTACATTCGCAAATTTTCCGCTAGTTCGGTTTTTGGAAAAAATTTGAATTTTTCTGTAGGGGTGCTAGGCACTCAAAAAGCTATCACCCCCACCCTTAAAAAAAAAAAGAAAAGAAAAACTTGTGCAAATAATCGAAAATAGGTGAAATCTTATCAGCAAATCATGTGCTCTCCGAAAATCATATTCGTAAATTAAAATTCCCACCCCTAAGTCTGAAAACCCACCCCCATAAAAAATACACAAGAGGTAGCTGTCCTATCGCGAGGAGAAAATTGACACTGTTTACGTTCAAATTACTCTCAGAATTATGTGCTCAAAATTTGCGAATGTAGCACATAATTAGCACATAAAGAGCACAATATGTTAAGATAGAGAGATTTGAATTTTGTAAAGGGTGGGTGCCAGCTATACGCACCTCCTTTCCTCGGCTCTAATGGCCTCTTCTTTCGCAGCGAGACCGGCGGTCTTGGCGTCAAGATGGTCGAGTACGTCTTGGGATCGAGTCCCACCACGCCGAAGGACTTGGAGCCGCGCATGGCCTCCTTGAGATTGGTGAGTTCGCGGATACCTTTGCCACCCTTCCACCTTACACGTCCGACGTTCACCCGTTGAGGGGAGCAAAGAAATCATCGATGAGAGCAATCGCGCGATCCATTCAATGATAACGAACAGGGTCAATATATATATATATGTAAAATTTAGAACATATATATAAAACTGGCCAATTATATGATAATAACAACAACAATAATTGACCAATTTTATTTATATGTTATAAATATTATATATATATATAAATCACCGACTTTAACCCGTTTAGTGCCGGGCGAAAAAGAGATGCTTATGCGAAGATAACCGGCCGAATTTTAGGATTTTACTAGGATTTGGAAGAAGGCTCATAATAACCAATCGAAAAGCAATATTTATATAATTCAAAAAGCAGGGAATTAAGGAGAAAATAGAGAATAAAACGGTGACGCTAATTTTTCTACATTCATTGAAGATTACATAAATAACAAAGGTATAAGTGATAAAAAAAATAGAAAAATTGAGTTCTCCGTTTCAAAGCGTAATTGCACACAGGAAGAGTCATCTTTTTATCATAAATTTATATAGACCGTTTATTGCCAAGTATATACTTTAAATTTCCAATATATTTTTTAACAAAATAAGTAATATTGCACGAGAAACATAAAAAATAACTCCAAGGCACATGGGAGGCGCCGGACGGATTATCTCATCCGAAACAAGTAATTGTTATAGGTTATAGGTTGTTACAGGTAGGTTATAGGTTGTTATAGGTGTTGTGGTATCGTTATTTTAATTCTCTCGTAATGAAATTAGACTATTTATAACGTATTATAAATTTATTTTGAGGTAGAGATCTCTCGCAAAGCGAATAGTAAAGCGCTACAAGGTGCGGGCCGATATATCGGCTCTGGCACTTTTCGCCAGTGCAGCGAGGGCCGATATATCGGCCTCCGGCGCTAAAAGGGTTAATAAAATGATTCGTTGACCCTGTTCGTTATCACTGAATGGATCGCGCGACTGCTCTCATCGATGATATCGATCGACGATATATATTTATATCACGGATTTATGCCAATCGTACCGTAGTCACCTGTAGAATTGAAAGGTTGAAGTTGTTAATCGAGCTTGGTAAAACCGGGTTTAAATTATTTTTCCATGTGCAGAACACGGACCCGGACAAGAAGGAGAAGGACAAGGGCTCGGCGAGTCCTTTCGACGTGTCGAAGGACGACTCTGGACCTCAGGGTAACGGCCTGACGTCCCAGAACGGCCTCGACGACGAGAAGGGCTTCAAGTGAGTTTTTGAAACACTTCTTATTTATCCCAGACTGGTATATTAAGTCGTCGACGTATGTGTTTGATAAAAAAAAATAGTCCAATCTCGATTACCTGGTTTTTATAGATATTTGGAGGCTTTATATGTACAGGATGACCCTTTCATATCACCTTAACCCTTTAGCTCAACGCCAGAGGGAGGATTGAAATCCAGGGAATCGTCGCCAGGACGACGAGTCTTACAAAGGGGGTCGTCCCCTTCCCCCTTTTTTGGTCGGAGGAATAATATTTTTATTCGGGGCCAATTATTTCCCCTGAGGGGAGCAAGGGGGGTGTAACGACTCCCCGAGGATTCTTCTCCCTTGACGTGATACTGCCGCGGCTCTTCCTTCCCTCCGGATATTCGATTTCCATTCATCGGCGCACTCGTCGCGGCGCTGCCCCCTTCTGTCCCCTTCTGTCCCCTTTTACCCCTTTCTGCCTCTTATGTCCCCTTCTACCCCCTTCTACCTCCTAGGGGGAACTCGCGCCCCCGCCACCGGAAACCGATTGTTCCACTATTTGCCGATAATCGCGACGATTGATCGGTTTTCCCGGTGAACGGTGGAACGTCTTAAGGTGATATGAAAGGGTATTGATATGTATCAAAACGTCAAAATATTCATAAGAGTTCTCCAAACTGGGTGCACCGAATAATTTGGAATTTGAACGCGTGATTATGGGTCTTGAAACTCATTTGTACAATGACATTTCATGCCACCTTAAGGCGATAGGAATGGGTCATTCTAGGTACATGGAATGTCAAAATGTTTATAAAACTTTTCCCCAAACTGGGTGCACCGAATAATTTGATATTTTAATGCGTGATTAGGGAGGTCCTAATGAAAGTCTTGACACTCATTTGTACAATGACATTTCATGTCACTTTAAGGCGATATGAAAGTGTCATTCTAGATACATGAAACGTCCAAATATTTATAAAACTTTTCCCCAAACTGGGTGCACCGAATAATTTGACATTTTAACGCGTGATTAGGGTCGCCCTTATGAAAGTCTTGAAACTCATGTGTACAATGACATTGCATGTCACTGTAAGGCGATATGAAAGTGTCATTCTACATACATGAAACGTCAAAATATTTATAGAACTCTTCTCCACACTGGGTGCACCGAATTATTTTGAACTTTAACACGTGTTTATTGAAGCAATGAAGGTCTTGAAACTCGCGACATTTAATTCCTCGAAAAAAAAAAGAATGTATTTATCTCGGGCAAGACCCATAAAAAGGAATTTTGTTCGGAAAGTTTTGGGAGTATCAAGACCTTCATTAGAATCGCCTTAATCATGTGTTACAGATCTAATTATTTGGGTCTCCCAGTTAGGGGAAAGGTTTATGTGATTATAGAGGTTCTAATGAAGGTCTTGAAACTTCGCCCAGTGTACTCTTGCGCGACTCGACTTTCGTTTTTACCGGCCGACTTCTTCCTGGGAATCGTGTCGTTAAGAGAGAGTCCTTCTCGTACCGACGTTAATCGGCGCTCGATAGAGAAGGAGCTCTCGTAACTGTTACGGCCCGAGGACGTAACAGCGATAACAGCTATTTACACGTGTACCGGCAAAACTGGCGTCTGCACCGACTTTTCTACCGAAAACAATGTAACTTTCATTTATTTTACATTATTACTGTCGAAAGAACCGGCGCCGGCACCGACTTTCCTGTCAAAAACAATGTAGTTCATTTATTTACATTATTATCATCTAAAAAAAAAAACGGCGCCGACTTTTCTGCCGAAAACAATGTAACTTCGATTTATTTATATTATTAGCATAAAAAAAAATACCAGTGTAAGCATCGGTTTTGTCGGTCGTGTGTAAACGGCGTAATGGCAGTTGTTCTTATTGTGGACGTTAACAGCGTAACGAGCGTCAGAGTCGTGTAAACAAAATACGTAGTTTTTTTTAAATTATTAGGTATTTTACGTCACTAGTCTTATCCGCGACGTAAATTACGTGAATACGAAACTTTACATACTTCCAGTTCTTGGTCCTGTTTCCAATTTGTTACAAATGTTAATAAAATATTAATAGAGATTCATAGTTTTCCCATGGGGTGTATAGAAAACTCGAATGTTCATGCCTGAAATACCATTTTTTACGGCTTGATTCTGATTGGCATGATTCTTTATTTTCTAATTAATTGGAATGTTTATTCACAAATGATGCACGCCGGTTACTTTGGAGAAGTCAAGTTATGGTGGAAATCTTTCTCGTGTAATTTATTAAGTGTATCTGGTTTCTTTCGTAAAATACTTCGTTTCGGTATTTTACGTAAAAGAACTCGAATAATGTATCACTGTACGTGACGAGCGTTACTGTTTCTTCGAGCTGCGGTATGCTTCTTCCCTTGCCAAGTAGTTGCGAGCGAGCGCTGCTAGTGCGCGCCATCTAGCGGTCGCCGCGCGAACCCGATACCCAACTCGGAGAACGCGGGGGTTCACGACTAGACTAACGCAGCGGTCGGTATCGCTACAATCGGTCGCTGGTAGTGACGCGCACTGGGGTCCACTAAATAGTTTTTAAATTCTTCAGTATTTATCCTCACGTGATATAACCGAGAATATTGCGGTAATGTAAAGGAAGGCTTATAAAAGAATTGATGAGAACTTAGAGAACTTTGGGAATTTATATTCATATTGACTCTTCCAGAATGATGTACTAACTTGAATACCATTAATAATATTTTTAAAAACTGCAATTAGTTTACTAAAATGAAATACCACTTGTAGTCTTTTCTGTCGTTATTTTTAAAGGGTGTAAAAATACCTCCAACGCGAGCTAAAAATGCCGATTGATGGTAAGGAGGGCTAATCCTGTATCTTTGTCATCTATTACCTTTGAAAGGAAAGTTAATCGTGCACACAAGTTCAAATGACTGAAGGTGTTGCTTCTCAATTATTTAATTAATTATTTAATTATTTCTAGTTGAAATGAAGTATATGTATAATGCAGATGAATCGCGCGAAGTATTGAAGTAATTTGGTTCATTCAATTGAAATGTTTTCTGAAATTAATAACACGATGTAGTCGTCGAATGTAGTCGAAGAACTATGACAATGCGATATGACAAACTATTCGAGTCACGAGATCGATGTGAGTCTAGTCGCGAATCTTTCGCTTTTGCTCAACTAAAAAAAAAATTTAAGCCGAATGGGAAGACCGTTGCCTGAATCTTTTCGCGCGCCGCCGCTCGATGGCGCACTAATCGCTTTTTCAAATCCTAACGACTTACAAGTGTAAGATAGAATGTCTTACCACATGAACGCTTGAACATAGAAGAGAAACTATGACATTTGAAAAATTGTATTTTTAATCTTAGCAACGTTAACAAAAATAGTTTTTAATGGTTAACGTAGGCATATACATTAGAACAAACATTCATTTCCTATATCTACATTTCGAATGTAACGTCTCGGCATTCTGTAATAGAATATCTTTACTTAGAGTAAATATAGTTAAATACTCCGCGTTGAATAAAAAAGGAAACTTAGTTAGGGAACCTCGGTATAACACGTAGGTCGTTTGAACGTACATACGCAGCCCGATAAAACCAGACGTCTCTAATATAAATTCGCACGAGACCGAATAAATTAGTCGGCATCGTGTCACGCGGTACCTTCCTCATTTGCATTTCGAGCGCACGCTAACGCGCTCCGGGGAAATACACAAGCCCTCGTGGCGATCGATCGAGATCGCGTCCCCACATACATCGATCCCACCCTTCGACCTGCTGTCCTCTATATGGGACAACCGCGTAAAACCGTTCGCGAAGTTAAGGGGATGTGAAAGTGGCATCCGAAAGCTCAATCGTTCATAAAACTTTTCTACGAACTGGATGTCTCAAATCGTTTCATACTTTAAAACGTGAATATGGAGACCGTAAGGTAGGTCCTGAAACTTGCGAAATTTAATTTTTTATAAATTAGTTTTAAAATACCTATAAAGAAATTTGAAAAGAATTGCAATTCCATGAGTTTCAGGACCTTCCTTATAGTCTCCCCATTCACGTAGTAAAGTTTCACCCTATTCGGTAAACCGAATTGGGAGAAAAGATTTATAAACAAAACCTCTTCAACGCCACTTTCACATCGCCTTAACCCTATTTCTACCACGATTTTGTGTATACCTATTTCGTCCGAAAGGTTTTGATGAGCTGGTGGGAAATGATACCGCTAAATGAATTTAACAATTATTATACGAAAACTCAAAACGTTAATTGAGAAAAAATTATTAAACGTTGAAATTAATTTCAAGTTAAAATTTTAAAAGGTGTCTTGACACCTTTGGTAGAAATAGTGTCAAGATAATGGAGGGAAATGATACCGCTAAATAAATTTAACAATTATTATACGAAAACTCAAAACATTAATTGAGAAGAAATTATTAAACTGAAACTAATTTCAAGTTAAAATTTTAAAAGGTGTCTTTTGACACCTTTGATAGAAATAGTGTTAATCCGTAAATCGAGAGTCGATAACATGTGCAATAAGCGCGTAAAGTATCTATGAAATTAGCGCGAATTCTCTCCCTCGGAGATGCTAAACGTGGATATCGTTTTTCCAGCCGCACGCCTGGCAGCCGACAGCCCTCGCCTGGGGAGGAGGAGTTCCAGAAGAACGCGGCGGCCACCCTGACGGTGAGCGCCGGCGCCGGCGGCGTGGTCCTCCTGAAGCCGGGCGTCGACGTCGTCGGGAGCGAGGAGCACTTCATGGCTGCGTTCGCGCCGGCGCCTCCGCATCATCTGCAGCACCACCAGGCGCCGCCGGCCCACCACTTGCAGCACCCCCACTCCCACGCTGCGCAGCTGTTCGGCGCGCAGGGCCCGCCCCCACCCCAGGGCCCGCCGCCCTCCCAGCAGCAGCAACAGCAGCAGCAGCAGCAACAGCAACAGCAGCAGGGCCCGCCGCAGCCCCAAGAGGCCACCACGCCCTTCGACGTCCAGGTAAGTCCCCGTTTCCAGATGACGAGTCGGACCCGGAAGGGTCCACTTCCTCTTTTAACCCTTTGGAACGAGCCACTATACTACACTATATGGTTTCCCCCCTAGGGACATTTCTTGACGCACTTTTATAGGAATATCCCTATATTGGCTCGTGTCCAAATGACTTTTTAACCAATCGTTGGTATAGTAAATCTCCGCTGAGCTTCCCTTTTTAAAGGTATGTCGTTATGGTGGAAACTTCTTTCCCATGGCATTTTTTAGTTTATGCCCTAGTGATGTTTTTTAACCTACTTATGGGGGGTTAAGTCCGTACGAGGATCATGGCTTTTAAAGGAATGCTCTTATGGTCGCTGCTTCCTGAATGACGTTTTAACACGTTACGTGCCACGTGTGCCTCCGTGGTACGCGTTACACTCGGCTGGTACAGTGACGGACATGAATGCCTTCTTTACGGATGTTATGTTACCAATGTATGGTAGGAACGCATTCATGTCCGCTAGTGTACACAGCTTGGCACGGAACGTGATTTTGAGAACACCGCTCGGCCTCCAGGCTGCCGCGGAAAAGCGGGAGGGATCCTGGCCGAGTGTTAATTTGGCGGGGTTATTTTTAAGTACGCGCCCGGCACTAACGAGCCGACCAACCACCTACCGGTCCTCGCAACCTTCAGAGACCGCCAGAGTGCGCCACCACTTGTCCCGACTCCGCTAGTTAACCCTCTTCTCTCCTCTGCTCGAGTTGGGTCGAGGAATCGTAGAGCTTATAGACACGGAGAAGGCATTGCTATAGTATGTGCACTATGTATTTGCATAGTTAGGTGTTGGGAGGAGGTTAGGCAGAGAAAGGGATCTTATCCATCTAACAAGGAATGTTTTTCAAGTATCCGCCTCCGATTGTTTTGGCTCTTGGAGATGTTTTAGAGGACCCAAAAGGAAGAAATACGTGTATTTTTATTTTGGCCCGTTTTCGTATTTAGGGGGTGAAATAGCCTCTCAAAGTTCATAAGAAGGGGTACAAGAATTCTTACAAGTTGTTAGTTTAAAGAATGATGTGTTGAGTAAAGCTGTTATAATTAGGTGTTAGGGGGAGGTTAGGCAGAGAAAAGGATCTTTTCCCTCTAAGGAGGAATGTTTTAGAGGACCTAAAAGTAAGGAACACGTGTATTTTTATTTTGGCCCGTTTTCAAATTCAAGGGGTGAAACAGCCCCTCAGAGTTTATAAGAAGGGGCATTAGAATTCTTCATTTAAAAAATAATGGGTTGAGTATAGCTGTTATAATTAGGTGTTAGGGGGAGGTTAGGCAGAGAAAAGGACTTTTTCCCTCTAAGAAGGAATGTTTTAGAGGATCTAAAAGTAAGAAACACGTGTATTTTTATTTTGGCCCGTTTTCATATTTAAGGGATGAAACAGCCCCTCAGAGTTTATAAGAAGGGGTATTAGAATTCTTAGTTTAACCCATTTGCATCATTAGCGTATATATACGCTCAGTTTTCCTGGTCACTATCACCGGAGCGTATATATGCGCTCAATTTTACTGGTCACTATCATTCAGCCTGAAATTTCAGTGATAAGGACCCTCTTTTTCATACTTCCTTATGATGTAAATGGGTTAAAGAATAATGTTGAGTAAAGCTTGGTATAATTTTAATATACGTCATAACTTGTTTGGTATATAATGTTCTTATCGGCATTCACCCTTGCCTGGGGGTAAACTACCCCTAATCGAATGAAGACACGTATAGAGACTTGAAACGTATAACGTAAAGTAATTCTTAAGAAACTTTGACCGTCAATTATTTTATGGTGACAGAATAGTGTTTTCACGACCCCCCATTCCTACGGAGGGGTGAGCTACCCCTAATTAATTAGTTCCGTTTGTCTTATAGTAAAAAAGTGTAAAAGTCGCGTAATTTTCGAACGAATGCAATGAAATTCATGTAAACAGTATTTCATAAAGATGAAGGCTTAAAGTGTCACCATAGTAATAATTACCCCAATGGGAAATCTACCCCAATAGAGCCGCTTATGTCCGTTCTGAAATTATTTCCATATATCCATTATTTCCGAAATTATGTCCGACTTAGAGTCGAAAACGAAGACTTTCGGGATCTAACCATAACAATTTAGAACAATATGATAATCTAACATCACCGACTGCCGTGAGAAATATCGAGATAAGTTTGAAAAACATGTTTAATGAAATTCTGCGATAAGTCAGGAGCAACCTATACGCTTAGCCCTAAAATTAGTTGTCACGAAATGCGGTAGATGGCGACGTTGGTCGATCGGGGTATCAGAAATCACAGGTCCAGGGGATTTATCGAGTTTTACGTCGATTTCTTCCTAATCGGTCTACTGAAATGACATATGGGGTCCGCCATTCTCGACTAAACTCAACGAAGTACGACACAAATGTCAATATGAATATAAATGCCGGTAACTCTTTCAGATGGTATATCAAAAGAACCATTTTTACCGACGTCGCGGTCGATTTAATTTCTCGGCGTCTTTCATATCACCTCGGCGTTAACGAGTCTTCCGATATTTTGAGACTTTTTTTCGTGCCGCCCGTTGCGTCGCCTCAGCTCGGCTGGGTCTATTTTGGATAAATAATTTAGCGGACGCACCCCGGGCCGCGGATACTAACGAGCCTTCGGAGCACCCGAGAGGGAGCCACCCTCGACAGAGTTTTTCTCTTCGCCCCGAGCACGCGTCCCTCTACACCAGGGGTACTCAACCGGTATTTATGACGTAGAATTGCGTTTTTGTTTTCCTTACATGTGGGATTAAGAAAGTGAAGCGTATTGGGAATATTGTTGGGAATTTGGCATATAGAAGTATCTAAAAAACAATTACCGCGTCCCTCTACACTTGGGGTACTCAACTAGTATTTATGACGGACATTTATGACGTAGAATTATGTTTTTGTTTTCCTTACATGTGGGATTAAGAAAGTGAAGCGTATTGGGAATATTGTTCGGATTTTGGTATATAGAAGTATTTAAAAAATAATTAGTGCGTCCCTCTAAACCTGGGGTACTCAACCGGTATTTATGACGGACATTTATGACGGACATTTATGACGTAGAATTACATTTTTGTTTTCGTTACATGTAGGATTAAGGAAATGCAGCGTATTCGGGATATTGTTGGGAATTTAGTATATATAAGTATTTAAAAAACAATTATCGCGTCTCTCTACACCAAGGGTACTCAACCGGTACTCCGAATATTTATGACGTAGAATTGCATTTTTGTTTTCATTACATGTGCAATTAAAAAAGTGAGTAGAATTGCATTTTTGTTTTCATTACATGTGGGATTAAAAAAGTGCAGCGTATTTGGAATATTGTTGGTAATTTGGTATATAGAAGTATGTAAAAATAATTAACGCATTCCTCTACATCAGGAGTACTCAACCGTTACTCCAAAAATGTCTGACCCTTGTTCTCGTTACATGTGTTCTGCAAGTGCCCTGAAAGGAGACATTTAGTTATCGCAAAATATGACAGATGGCGCCGTTAGTCAATGAGCGTATCAAACGTCATGCATCCGAGGGATTTTTCGATTGGCTTTCATAATTGCCCCTTCGAATGGCATTTTCGTATCCCTTAAGCCCTGGCCGGGTTCTCTCGGGTTTTATTCACTTTCCCCCGGTTTTTTTATTCACCCCTTGCCGTTAATTTTTTATCGTCTCACTCCGTCCTCGCGGGTCTCCTTTATGCGGCCCATTTCCGCGGCTCGGTTCACGGTGTAGGGAAAAAAAAAAAAAAAAAAAAGTTCTCCCTCGGCGAAACGCGAAAAAATTACCGGGAAGCTCGTTATCGTTTAAAAAACAGCAATGCGGAGGGGATCGTCCGAAAGTCCCGAAACTCGATGTTTGTTTCTCTTTGTCTCTCGTCTTTCTCCTCGTGCACCGACAAAGAGCCCTCCATTGGAGGTTCCGACCGGGAGGAAACGTGGAATTCCGTCCTCCTCGACGGAGACGTATAAATCACCGCGCGACGGCTCGTCACCTACTTTGAATCCTTGGAAAATGGAGCGACCCTTGTGTACGGTATACGACACCGGCAACCGGGTGCACGACTCGACGTTTTCCGCATACACACGCGGAAAGGAACCGCGTTCTCGACGACCACCGCCTACGCTCCCGGCGCGTCGCGCCGGTACTTTAGCGCCGGGTGGACGACTCGATGTTGGTCGCGTATGTCCTTGTTGAGGTACTACGGGTCGGCTTGACGTTTACCTCGTGTACCCTCGTTGAGGTACTTCGGTACGATTTGACGTCGGTTGCAATTGCTTTGAAAGTACCGCGTTAAGGTGATATGAAAGTGTGATATGTACGTACTAAAAAGTCAACCTTATTATCAAACTTTTTTCTGCGTATGTCCTTGTCGAGGTAGTACGGGTCGGCTTGACGTTTACCTCGTGTACCCTCGTTGAGGTACTTCGGTACGATTTGACGTCGGTCGCATTTGCTTTGAAGGTACCGCGTTAAGGTGATATGAAAGTGTGATATATACGTAGCGAAAAGTCAACCTTATTATGAAACCTTTCCCTACGTATGTCCTTACCGAGGTACTACGGGTCGGCTTGACGTTTACCTCGTGTACCTTCGTTGAGGTACTTCGGTATGATTTGACGTTGGTCGCTTTTGCTTTGAAAGTACCGCGTTAAGGTGATATGAAAGTGTGATATGTACGTACTAAAAAGTCAACCTTATTATCAATGTTTTTTCTGCGTATGTCCTTACCGAGGTACTACGATTCGGCTTGACGTTTGTGCGTGTACGCCCGTTGAGGTACTTCGGTATCACTTGAGCATTTGCTTTGAAAGTACCGTGTTAAGGTGATATAAAAGTGTGATATGTACGTACCAAAAAGTCAACCTTATTATCAAACTTTTCCCTACGTATGTCCTTACCGAGGTACTACGGGTCGGCTTGACGTTTACCTCATGTACCTTCGTTGAGGTACTTCGGTACGATTTGACGTCGGTCG